AGAAAACCCTAAAGAATCCATCGGAAGACTGTTAGAAATAACAACTACAGTAAATTTGCAGGGTGCAAAATCAACCTACAAAAATCAGTTGCATTTCTATAATAACAAACTTATGGAAAGAGAACTCAAGAATACAATTCTATTTACAATCACAACAAAAAGAATAAAGTACCTAGGAATAAATTTAACCAAGGAGGTGAAGGACTTATACAATGAAAACTATAAGACATCACTGAAAGAAATAGATAATGACATAAAGAGATGGAAAGAGACTCCATGGACATGGATTGGAAGAATAAACATAGTTAAAATGTCCATACTACCCAAAGCAATCTACACATTCAGTGCAATCCCAATCAGAATTCCAATGACATTCATCATGGAAATAGAACAAAGAATCCTAAAATTCATATGAGGTAACCAAAGACCCTGAGTTGCTAAAGCAATACTGAGAAAAAAGAACAAAGCTGGAGGCATCACAAACCCTGACTTCAAAATGTACTACAAAGCCGTAGTGATCAAAATAGCATAGTAGTGGTACAAAAACAGACACACAGATCAATGGAACAGAACTGAAAGCCCAGAAATAAAACCGCACATCTTCAGACAGCTAATCTTCGACAAAGGTGCCAAGAACATACAATGGAGGAAAGATGGTCTCTTCAATAAATGGTGTTGGGAAAACTGGACAGCCACATGCAAAAGAATGAAGGTAGACCATTATCTCACGCTATACACAAAAATAAACTCAAAATGGATCAAAGACTTGAGGATAAGTCCTGAAACCATAAAACTCCTGGAAGATAATAATAGGTAGTACACCCTTTGATATCGAACTTAAAAGGATCTTTTTGAACACCATGTCTTCTCAGACAAGGGAGACAAAAGAAAAAATAAACAAGTGGGACTTCATCAGACTAAAGAGCTTCTGCAAGGCAAAAGAAACTAGAATCAAAACAAAAAGATGGGGCCGACCCTGTGGTCGAGTGGTTAAGTTCGCGTGCTCCACTTCGGCGGCCCGGGGTTTTGCTGGTTTGGATCCTGGGTGCGGACATGGCACCACTCGTCAGGCCATGCTGAGGTGGTGTCCCACATCCCACATGCCACAACTAGAAGGACCCACAACTAAAAAATACACAACTATGTACCAAGGGGCTTTGGGGAGTAAAAGGAAAAATAAAATATTTTTTTAAAAAAAGAAAATTAATAAGCTAAGCATTCAACAGGGTAGAAAAAATAAAAAGGAAAATGGAAAGAAGAAATAAAGATAAAATCAGAAATTAATAAGGGAAAATAAACAGTCCTTGATAAATAAATTGAAGAGGTCATTCTTCAGAAATAAAATAGACATGTTTCTGGCAAAAATAAGAAAAAAAACCCAAAGGACATACTCTTGGATGTCTTATAAGTAATTCAAACTGAACTCAGCAAATCTCTGATTTTCCGCTGAAGTATTTGTTTATTTGCCAATCTTATATCTCAATAAATATACCACCATCTAAGTCAAAAGCTAAAAGTTATCCTTGACACCTCCATATCCCTCACTCCCCACATTCAATCCAATATCAGGATATATCTCTTCTATCTCAGTAGTGGGCATCTATGGATTTCATCACCTCAGCGTTCTCCCCTTCCTTTTCTGTTGAAAACCCCTTCACTCTCATTCAGAAGTCCTGTCTCTTTTTCTTATTCTTTCTCTTTCCCTTTTTTCTTCTCTCCTCCCTCACTCCCTCTGTTTGCTCCTATTTAGCCCTCATGTGCAGAGATTTAAGGCAATCATGCTATTTGGTTCACACTATCATCAACAAGGCCTTTCTCATTTTATATTTTTTTCCCTTCGTTGCAATTCCCACTCATGTTCATTCCCTCTCCACTTAGGTAGCCGCTCTAATGTGTAGTATTGTTTTATGCATGTATGTACATAACTGATATTATGTTATATTGTGTTATAGAAGTCATTCTGTTTGTTTTTCATATATCTGTAAATATTTCTGACTATTGCATCATATTGTTTTAAATGACCACACACTCTTGGCCACTGGTCCTGGGCTAAGTTGGACCAATCGGTCCTTACCCAGAATCTTTGAAGTGAAACTAAGAAAGAAAGAAAATTCCTCTCCAGTGTGGTAGCCATAAAATGTAAAACACAGGAGCTGTCAGCAGCCACATGTCCTGCTATGTGGAACCAGCTGGTCTGCAATGAAAAAGAAGGAAGCCGACATGCAGAAAGCAGCAGAGGTGAGAAACAATGAGAGAGTCCTGGAAAATCTCAAGTCTCTGATTCCAGTTATTCCTGAAGCTCCATATTCCTGCCCTTCCCATGGTTCCACTCTTCCTTGGATTCTACGAGCCAGTAAATCTCATCACCTCCATCTTGTGCCTGAGCCAGTTCAAATAGGGGTTCTATGACTGGCAACCAAGAGGCATAACTAATTATAATCTCTAAAATGTATCTCTTAGTGTGTGTGTGTTTTAATTGTGGTGAAATACACATGACATGAAATATACCATTGTAACCATTTTTAAGTCTACAGTTCAGTAGTGTTAAATAGTCACATTGTTATACAACCAAGCTCATCTTGCAAAATTGAAACTATACCCATTAACAACACCTTCCTATTCCACCCTCCCCTCAGTCTCTAGCAACCACCGTTTATTTTCTGTCTGAATTTGACTACTATAGATACCTCATATAAGTGTAGTCATACAGTATTTGTCTTTGTGTGACTGGCTTACTTCGCTTAGTATAATAGCCCCAAGATTCATCCATGTTGTAGCATGTGTGAGAATTTTCTTCCTTTTTAAGACTGAATAATATTCCATTGTATGTATATACCACATTTTGTTTATCTCTTCATTTGTCAATAGATACATGGGTTGCTTCCACCTTTTGGCTATTGTGAATAATGCTGCTATGAACATGGATGTACAAAGATGTCTTTGAGACCCTCTTTGAATTCTTTTGGGTGTATACCCAGAGTCTAATTGCTGGATCATGTGGTAATTCTGTGTTTAATTTTTTTAGGGACCACCATATTATTTTCCACAGCAGTTGCACCATTTTACTTTTCCACCAACAGTGTACAATGGCTCCAGTTTCTCCATTCCTTGCCAACACTTGTTATTTTCAGTTTATTTGTTTGTTTGTTTGGTGAGGAAGATTAGCTCTGAGCTGACATCTGTGCCAATCTTCCTCCATATTGTATGTGGGACGCTGCCACAGCCTGGCTTGATGAGCAGTGTGTAGATCTGCACCCTGGATCCGAACCCACGGATCCGAATCCCTGGGCTGCCGAAGCAGAACCTGGGGACTTAACCACTATACCACCGGGCTGGTCCCTAGTTTTTTGGTTTTTTAAAATAGTAGCCATCCTAATAGGTGTAAAATGGTTTTGGCTTGCATTTCCCTAATTAGTGATGTTGAGCATTTTTTCATGTGCTTATTGGCTATTTGTATGTCTTCTTTGGAGAAATATCTATTAAAGTCCTTTGCCTATTTTTTAATTGGATCTGTTTTTCCAAATTGTATATTGAATGATTATTTTTTTTCTACCTCTACTTTCACCATCCAAGCCCCTGTTGTCTTCCATGTGGACAATTGTAATACTTCTTAAATAGACTCCCTAATTCCACTCATCTCTTTCCTTTTCATTCACCACAAAGTAACCAGAGTGATCTTCTGAAAATATTAATTCTAGTATGTCACTTACCTGCTCAGAATTCTCCAGTGGTACTCCATTGCTCTTAATAAAAAAACCCAAGAGTCATGGTCCTTTCTGATCTAGACTCTGCCAACTTCACTTTCCTTACTTCTTATCCTACTCTCCTTTGATTACTATTTTCAGATACATTAGCCTTCTTTTAGTTCCTGGAATATGCCAACCTCTTTTCCTCCTTAAACCTTCACACATATTGTCCCCTCTACCTGAAACACTTTCCTCCCTACTTTGCCCATTCATCTTATAGGTCATAACTTAAATTTCACTTTTCCATAGAAGGCCTTCCTTAACCTCATTCCCTGATCTAAGTGAGGCCTCCCATTATAGTATCCTAACACACTTCCTTAATTTCACCTATCAACATTTGTAAATACATATCTATTTTTGGATTATTTATTACACATCTCTCTACTTGATTGTAAACTTTATGAGAGCAGAGACAAGTCCATTTTTCTAACACTATATCCCCAGGCCAAACAGTATGTGACACACAGAAGGTGCTCAATATTTGTTGATTGAATGAATAAATGATGAATGAATACCATAGATAGGAAGAACACTTAGGAATATTAATATGTACAACTTTATGCTAATAAATTTGAAATTTTAAACTAGATAATTTTGTAAAAACTTTAATTATTGAAATTAATTCAAGTTTATGTGGCAAGTCCACATAAACCAATAACTGAAATCACTGAAAGTTAACAGAGGTATATTTATAAGGTAAAGACAAATTATCTTTATTTGCAGATAGCACAATTGTTTGGAGAATGAACTATGAAACTATTAGATCTAACAAGATAATCCAGTAAAGTATCCTATTACATGACAAATATACAAAAATTACTAGCTTTCATATATATCATCAGTAAGCAATTTAAAAATCTAATAAAAAATACGTTATCTCAAAAGCCACAAAAATATATTTACTTAGGCATACATTTAATCAGATCCATGCAGGACACAAACTATGAAAACTTTACTGAAAACCTAAAACAAGACTTTACTAAATTGAAAGACACCCATGTTCATGGATGGGAAGACTCAATATTTTAAAATATTGGGGCCGGCCCGGTGGCTGAGTGGTTAAGTTGGCCTGCTCCACTTTGGTGGCCCAGGGTTTTGCCAGTTCAGATCCTGGGCACGGACATGGCACTGCTCATCAAACCATGCTGAGGCAGCATCCCACATGCCACACCTGGAGGGACTCACAGCTGAAAATACACAACTGTGTACCAGGGGGCTTTAGGGAGAAAAAGGAAAAAATAAAATTAAAATAAATAAATAAATAAAAATAAATAAATATCAATTATGCCCCAAATTCATTTGTACATTTTACAGTGGAATTTCCCCCAACCTTGATAAAGGATTTCTTGAAGTTAATTTGGAAGAATTGATGTATAAGAAAAGCCAATAAATTTTAGAAAGGGTAATCAAGGAAGAATGTATTAATACAATCAACAACTGGAAAAGGAATTAGCGGTTTGATCAATGGGACAAAATATGAAGTCCAGAAAAGCCCCAAGCATTAATAGAAATTTAGTTTTTAATAAATGTGGCATTTCAGAGGAAAAAGATGATTCAGCCAGTAAACGGTTTGTTAAAAATTCACAAAAGAATGTGTCCAGTAAGTATATAGAAAACGTGTTCAGTCACTAGTAATTAGACAAATTCCCACTACTAGACATATTTCATTAAATTCGCAGATAAAAATGATGCAGCAAGGGTAAAGGAAAATGGGCATTCCTTAGAAACTGCTTTTGGGAGTGTATATTGATATAATCTACAACTCTTCTGGAGATCAGTTTGGCAATAGGTATCAAATGTCTTAGAATCGTACATGCCTTTTGATGCAAAGTGCCATTTGGAGGAATCTACTCAAAGTATGTATGGAGATACACAAAGATCTTAGAACAATGCTGTTCATTACATCATTATTTATTACAGCCCCCCCCAAAAGAAAATCTAAATGTTTAACAATAGAGTTATATAAAACTATGGTATTTTTGTAAAAAGAAGTACTATTAAGTCATTTTAAAAGTTGCATAATACCTATTGATAAGCAAAGATTTATAGATATTCATAATATTATCTTTAAAAAGCAAGTTATGAAACCTGTCAATAAAGTTTTGTCTGCATATATATATGTGGGCTTGGAAAGATATGCTTAGATAGCAATTGTCTTTGGGGAGGAAACATTAAATTCTGCTTTTCTATCGAACATGCATCACTTTTGTTAATAAGGAAAAATTAAGAGAAACTTCATGTTTAAATGCCATAATAAAAATAGTGAAAAATGGAAGCATAAAGCAGTTATTGAAAATTATAATTATGAAAATTGTGAAGAAACTGAGCTAAACGGAGTAAACAAAGTGTTATCTTTGATTTTAACTGTCATTTAATGTATGTATATTTAAAAAACAGAAAGAAACATAGAAAATGAACATAATTTATTAAAATGGTAGGATTGATGGCAATTTTTTCTCCTTGTTAAATAATTTTTAAAATAAAAATTTCTAGCAAATTTTGAATCCAGTTAATTCAGGCTTTTCACAACAATGATGAAAAGGTAGAGACCAGTGGTAGTGCTGCCAAGAGATAGATGGTATGGGAGAAGGGCGAGCTTTAAACCTTCCATAATCACCACCAGCTACTTCCTGTAAAGCTTCACCAGAAAACACTTGTATTTACCAAGAAACTCACCTTCAGGACAAGTTCCCGTCCGTGCACAGATTCTGGAGCCCCAGTGATGGCAACAGTTCCACATTAACATCGGAAGCCTCAGGTCTATTTTCCTGTTATGTATTTTTCTTCTTTAAAATATTTTATTTTTCTTAGAGCAGTTTAAGTTTCACAGCAAAACTGACGGGAAGGTATAGAGATTCCCCATATGCCCCCTGCCCCAACACATGCATAGCCTCCCGAATTATCATTATCCCCGACCAGAGTGGTACATTTGTTACAACTGAACCTACATTGACACATCATTACCACCCAAAGTCCATAGTTTACATTATGGTTCACTCTTGGTGTTATACATTCTATGGGTTTGTGTCATGCATTTTCAGTCTTTTTCGTTAAACACATTGTCTCAGGCTTTGCCTTGACCCCCTTCTTATTCCTGGGTTTCAGAACCATGTGTGCTCAATACTGCATCTCCTTTGCTGATGTTGAAAAAGCTCATATCAACATTCGAGATTTTATCCACCTCACACCAATGCTAACAAGCTCCATTTTGAATCAACTAACAGGGCGCAATCTTTTCTTCAAATGTGAACAATTCCAGAAGACCGGATCTTTTAAGGTAACAATCTCTTTTGATACTGTATCATGTATCTTTTCAAACCCCTTTCACATATAAATTTATTTGATCCTCCTGACCACCCAGTGAGGTAGGTAGATTAATATCTTTTTATAGCTGAAGAAAGAGTAGTAGAGGGGCTGGCCTGGTGGCGCAGCAGGAAAGTTCCCACATTCTGCTTCGCTGGCCTGGGGTTTGCCGGTTCCGATCCCAGGTGTGGACATGGCACCCCTTGGCACGCCATGCTGTGGTGGGCATCCCACATATAAAGTACAGGAAGATGGGCATGGATGTTAGCTCAGGGCCAGTCTTCCTCAGCGAAAAGAGGAGGATTGGCAGCAGTTAGCTCAGGGCTAATCTTCCTCCAAAAAAAAAAAGAGTTGTAGAAATTTTCCTTTGATCAATCCTGGTTACATAGCATTATGGTGTTGATGAGCCACTTTTACACAATATCAAAATTCCTTATAATTAGAGTTATCATATAATTTACTGTCCAAACTAGGACGTTTGAGAACAAAAGGGGGAACTTTTAATGATGAAACTGAGATATTAGACATCAACCTAGACTGTTGCAAGGCAAAATGAGCAAGTGTGATCATCCTGTATATAACCCAGTTTAAGCATTCACTTTGTGTCAACTTGCTATTATGAATATAAAAGATACCTTATTATGAATATAAAAGATCTAAACCTAGCTAAACCCTCATATAATAAGATCTTTTTATACGAAATTATGTCAGTGCCTTTCCTATGCATAAAGATAGGCTTCTGTGTGTTGATTCATTACCAGCATTTTCTGACCATTAGTTGAGCTTTAAGATCCTTTCAGGTAAAAATCTGAAAGCTGCATTTTGCACTATGCCTGACAGGCATTAGTACCTAAGTGATAGCTTTATGACTTCAAGAAATCTACCTTTTTCCCAACCTATTAACTGAGAGCTTTTATATTTAAAAAACAAAACAAAAAACTCTCCATTCTCTTTTGCCCTTTGCTTCTCCCATGGTTGATTCTTCATTCATCACACATCAAGCACTTATTTTCACTAACTATATTAGGCATATATACGGTAGGCCTTTGCCCTATTATCCATACTTGCAGGGAAAAACAGGCAGGTCAACAAATGGGTTGATGAGAAGTATCTTAAGAGATACAAAGCACCATGGAAGAACAGAGGACAAAGTGCCTAATTTTGTCTGGGAGATTAAGGTAGTTGAACTAGGTGATGTTCGACCCAAGTTTTACAGGGTGAGTACTCTTAGCCAGATCAGGGAGTGGGGGAAAAGAGCTACAGGTAGAGGTACCAGCAGGCTCAGCGGTACAGCAGTGTGTGCTAACCTGGTGAGAGGGAAACGAAAAGCCACTTAGGATGGCTACAAGTCATAGAGGAAATAAATGTTTTAGAAACACTGCAACTTGTAAAGAATTTGTACTTTTCTTACAAAAATAGGCAATGAAAAAGACAGCATTTGTTTTTAAGAGATCACTTTCATAATCTAGTGGAAATGTTAGATGAGAATGATCCTTGAAGCAGATCAGTTAAAGTTTGATAATACACAACTTGAGAAATGAGGCCTCATCAAGGTAGTGGCAAAGACACACATGAGGTATTTTAGGAGTTAGAATCAATAAGTCCATTAGTGATGGACTGGATGTGCAGTGTTAGGAAGAGAAAAATCTAGAAAAGTCCTTTGGTTTTTTGAAAAGAAACTCTTTAATCAAATACATGAATTCATTATACCTCTTTCCCAGATTCGTGGTGCCCTTAATGCAATCAGAAACTTGATTCCTGCCACTTCAGAAGAGAAGCCCAAAGCTGTTGTTACTCACAGCAGTGGAAACCACGGCCAGGCTCTCGCCTATGCTGCCAAATTGGAAGGTACTTGATTAATTTGTCAGGGTCCTGGGTAGGATCATCAGAAGCATGGAAAAGTATCCCTACTTACAGTGAGACTGGTGATAGCTGTGGGAAGTAATTTCTCAAGTCTCTATCTGATTACAAGCGAACTGAACAAGTTTCTATCCTAAATTCTGATTTGTACTAACCATGTTTCTCCTTCCCAGGGATTCCTGCCTATATCGTGGTGCCCCAAACAGCTCCCAACTGTAAAAAATTGGCAATACAAGCCTACGGAGCCTCTATAGTATACAGTGAACAGAGTGATGAGGTAAGGAAGAGAGCGATGTTCAGTACCACATTTTTTTTTAAGATTTTATTTTTTTCCTTTATCTCCCCAAGGCCCCCCGGTACATAGCTGTATATTTTTAGTTGAGGGTCCTTCTAGTTGCGGCATGTGGGACGCCACCTCAGTGTGGCTCGATGAGCGGTGCCATGTCCGTGCCCAGGATTCGAACTGACGAAACACTGGGCCGCCTGCAGCAGAGCACACGATCTTAACCACTCGGCCACGGAGCCAGCCCCTCAGTACCACTTTAACAGCTTTCACTGTCAAATTAAATTTCTCTTTCTGCTTTACTGGCTGCTGCTTCTCAGTCTCATTTTGTTTTCTCTTCATCTCTAAATGCTAGCAGGCCCAAACTTTTCTCTCTCTACGCTCACTCAGATGATCTCAGTAGTCTCATACTTTAAAATATCACCTATAGGGGCAGCCCAGTGGCACAGCAGTTAAGTTTGCACATTCTGCTTTGGTGGCCTGGGGTTCGCCGGTTCGGATCCCAGGTGTGCACATGACAGCACTTGGCAAGTCATGCTGTGGCAGGCGTCCCACATATAAAGTACAAGAAGATGGGCACGGATGTTAGCTCAGGGCCAGTCTTCCTCAGCAAAAAGAGGAGGATTGGCAGCAGATATTAGCTCAGGGCTAATCTTCCTCAAAATAAATAAATGAAATAAAATATCACCTATACTCTAACTCCAGCCCTGACCTTTGCCCTTAACCCAGATTGTATATCCTAGGCTACCTGGTATTCTCACTTGGATGTCTTTTTTTTTTTTTTTTTTTTTTTTGCTGAAGTAGATTAGCTCTGTGCCAGTCTGCCTCTACTTTATATGTGGGTCACCGCCACAGCATGGCTGACAAGTGGTGTAGGTCTGTGCCTGGGATCTGAACCCACGAACCCAGGCTGCCAAAGTGGAGCACAATGATCTTAACCACTAGGTCATGGGGCTAGTCCCCCAACTTGGATGTCTTAATAGGCATCTCAAATTCACTACGTCTATAACCAAACTCCTGATCTTACTCCCTCAATATTGCTTCTTTTCCAGTCTTCCCCATCTCAGTAAATGGCAACTTTTATTCTCCTAGTTACTCAAAAAAAAAGTTGGAGTCATCTTTGGTAACTCTCTCACACCCTACATCCAAATCTTAGTCCTACTTTCAAAATATCTCCATCATCTAACTACTGCTAACAGTCTCTACCACTAGCACCCTGATTCAAACCAACATCGGTTCTCACCTAGATCGAGCAGACTGCTAACTGGTCTCTCTGCTTCCACTCTTGCCCCACTAGTATGTTTTCAAAACAGCAACCAGAGCCATCCATTAAGTTAGAACTTGTCTCTCATCAGCTCGAAATCCTCCAACAGTTTCCATCTCATACACAGTGGAAACCAAAGTTCTTGAAATCATCTAAGGCCTAGATGAACTGGCTCGTTCCTATCTTTCTGACCTCATCTCCCATCATGACTCTGCCCCAAACACTCCAAGCCAACTCACACTAACTTAGCAGTTTCTGAGAAAGTCCAACCACTCCTACTTCCTAGTCTTTGCACTTGCTATTATTCTCTCCTTGGAATATTCTGGAGATCCACAGGACTTGTTCAAATCTATTAAATGTCACTTTACCAGAGGCCTTTCTTAAGCACCCTATATAAAATAAATTCATTTTTCTCCATAGCACTTAGACATACCATATATTTCCTTATATCCCACTCCTCCCCATCATATTAGAACATAACTCCCTTGAGCACAAGGACTGTTTAGTTCAGTTATATCCCCAGTGCCTGAACAAAGTCTGAAAAAAAGTAGATGGTCAATAAAGCGTTAAATGACTGAATCTAACTTGTTGGGAATTCTATTAAATACAAATCAAGTAAGCTAAATCAATGCACTCTTTCAGTCCAGAGAAAATGTTACAAAAAGAATTATGGAAGAAACAGAAGGCATCATGGTTCATGCCAGCCAGGAGCCTGCAGTGATAGCTGGGCAAGGGACAGTTGCCATGGAAGTGCTGGACCAGGTACAAGCCTAGTGGTAAAGGTGATGTTTGTCTGTAAAATCAATTATTTTGTATGTACATAAAATTGGTTATTAATAGATGTAATTATACTTTTACTCAAGGTTCCCTTAGTAGATGCACTGGTGGTACCTGTAGGAGGAGGAGGAATGGTTGCTGGAATAGCAATTACAGTCAAGGTGAGGAGCTTCTGGAGGACTCTGCACTTCAGGCACAGAGTATTTTATTTTACCTCACAGTACACTGTGGATACTTGCTCACCATTCCCCCCAAAATGCCATTCCTTCCCATCATTCCTTCACACTTCAGATGGATGGCCCTTCTCTGCCTCACTACCCTTTTCTTAATCCATGACAACTTTACAGCATAAAAGCAGTTACAATGAGTGCCACCCTCACAGTCCTCACCTTAATTCCATCTCACCAACCTTCTATCCAAGTACGGAGGTATTCTTTTCCCAAGTTACCAGCACAACCAGATGTGATCTAGGCAACTGAAAGCCAATGATAGGCATACAATTTAAAGTGCCTGAAGGTCCTATTTTCATTGTATCTATCTAAGAGAAAGCTTTTACTTGGGCAATGTGTTACCTGTACTGCCTATTTTACTGCAGGCATGCAGGCAAAATGCTGTGGGTAGTTGTAAGATGTCTAATATTTCTCTTCCCAGGCTCTGAGACCTAGTGTAAAGGTATATGCTGCTGAACCCTTGAATGCAGATGACTGCTACCAGTCCAAACTGAAAGGGGAACTGACCCCCAATCCCTATCCTCCAGAAACCATAGCAGATGGTGTCAAATCCAGCATTGGCTTAAACACCTGGCCTATTATAAGGGACCTCGTGGATGATGTCTTCACTGTCACAGAAAATGAAATTAAGGTGAGGCCCCAAGAGGAAAAGAAATAACAAAAGAACAGAGCAATTTCTCAGACAAAAGAAACTTCTCTCCTGTTCTAAGTAGCAACTCACCCACTGGGGACTTGACTAGGTGACTTAATGACATGTGGGAGGGTGCCCTGGATGTATTAAGACAACCCTCTTGACAGAAGCAGAGTTAGGATGAAAAAAAAGCCCTGCCCTTCATTGGCAAGCACATACATATAGGAATTAAGAAAATTCAGACTGGGTATATATCCTCATCTGGCCTTTAATTGTAAAGGCCAACCAACTGGGCTCTTTCCCCTTCTCCCATTTCACTAATTCTTACTTCCTTCTGTACCAACAGTATGCAACCCAGCTGGTGTGGGAGAGGATGAAACTGCTTATTGAACCTACAGCTGGTGTTGGAGTGGCTGCTGTGCTGTCTCAGCATTTTCAAACAGTTTCCTCAGAAGTAAAAAACATTTGTATTGTGCTCAGTGGTGGAAATGTAGACATAACCTCCCTAACCTGGGTCAAGCAGGCTGAAAGGCCAGCTCCTTATCAATCTCTTTCAGTTTAATTTATGCAAAATGAAGAGATGGGATTTAGTGTCTCTAGACAACTGGAAATTTTGTTTCCTGGTCACTGTCAACTTCCTATCTTCCCCTCTTAAACAGCTTTCAAAATCCTAATAGAGAGTACATATTTCAGTAAGATTTAATAGTTTTTTGGACAAAGCAGCAATAGAAAAACATTCATACTTAACTGAGACACCTTGTCAAGGGCAAGAAAAGACTTTTTCAAAAAGGGGCAAGAGACCTCTAGGCTAAAGTAGAAAATACAAACTTTGCCCAATCACAATGTGTAGGCTCCCATCCCTAGAATGCTAATTAGCAATAATGAGACAGAATCCCACTGAATCCGTTACTCCATGTCCACTTCAGGCAGTGCTGAAGAAATCCCACTTTTCACCCAAGGTACTGGTTCTGGTACATATGGATCATAAGTCCATTTTGGGAAAACTCGTTTATAGAGATTCATGAGTACTGTGTCCTGAGATTTTAGCTTCCCATCAAAACTGCACTTCATGTGGCCATGGGTACCTAGAAAGAAAACAGCAGGTTGGTCAAATTAAGGTAGAAAACATTAAAGCAGTGGTCTTCTAACCCAATAGTCATTTAGTAGCACTGGAAAAATCTAGACAAGGTCCAAAATCCCACATTCTCTTACCTAAAGGCTCCTTGATGTGTCCCCTGCGTCCCCACTTTGTTCTCAGTTCCACTGGTTTAAACCACAGCACATCCTCTTAGAATGAAACACATGGAAGACCAAGATGAAACACTTACCCACAAAATGTAAACCCAACCTTCACCCCACAAAGGCAATCAGATCCCATCCTTCACACCTACCTCTACTGAAGAACATGTAACGTACTACTGCCATCTTAGTAAAAATTTTGAAAGGATGACCACTCAGAACAACTCTTTTGATGACCATTCTGTCTGGATCCACTGACAAGAGATAGCCTGTGGCAATAAGACTGTGCATTCCTAAGGGGCAAAAGCAGAGCAGCTATTCAGGAGTCTACAGGCCAAAGCCTTCATTTACCACTCCAGTCCATTTAAAGACATATGCAAGATCTTATAGAAACTTTAAAATAGGGATGTACTATGGTGCCCTCCTGGGTCCATGGCAAAAATCATTAAGTGATATTCCTGCTGAACCTGTCCCCAGAATCTGTCCTAAATATAGCACTCTTAGCAGCCTCTATCTATTAGCTAAGGTTTGCAAGCAAGATAAAACCCCATTTGTCATTCCTGCCTTAGATCTACTGTGAGGCTGATATTGGGCTATTTTGAAAACCATCATTACCTTCTTCATACCATTTGCCTCCCAAACCTAAATACAGAAAACAGTGTTAAACCCATTAGGACCTGCAGGCCTACTCACATCTGTGAACTCAACTTACCATTGCTATTCTGTTTGAAAAGCAGCACAGATGCAGGAGGAAAAGTGATTGGGGCATAGACTGTCACCACCAGGGCCACATCAGCAGTCAGGAATCTCTGAAATTTATGTTTATCCGCTGACAAAATAAGAAGTAAAAAACAAAAACCAATATATTTTGAGAAACCATAGGTAATCCAGAGGCCTGTGAAAGCTGTATCACTCCAACTACTAAAACCAAGACACTTGTGTTTCTTCTCCCTACTAGTTCTCAAAATATTTTCCTGCCTCAATCCAACTTAAAGATACAACCCAATCCTGTCAGTGATTTTTCACCTGGAGGCAGAATCTTAGCAATTAGACTATATATGGAGTTTGAATGAAAAAGTTCTCCAGGTGATTCTGATGCCCAGCACCCCGACCTCATTTGAGAATCAATGCTTTACGGAGAATATCTCCACTAAATCGGTAGCTCTTAGTCTTAAGCAAGGATTGGCTAACATTTTCTATAAAAGGCCAGAAAATAGATATTGTAGGCTTTGTGGCCATACAGTCTCTGTTTCAACTACTCAACTCTCTCACTGTAGCACAAAACAGCCACAGACATTAAAAAAAAAAAGGCATGACTGTGTTCCAACAAAACTTTATTTAACAAAAATAAGCAGTGGGACAGAGTTGGCCCAAGGGCCATACTTTGCTGACCTCTAATATTGAGAGCTATGTGGAGCTCCTGTTTTTACCTTCAATGAAACCCTGCCCCACTGCTCTTTAATACTGAAGTTACAGGGAAATAAAATATTTTAAGGAAAAGATAAGTTAATCCCTCACTTAGCATGGCTGGTGAGAATAGAAATTATCCAGAGCACCCATTAATACCGCCTTCATCATCTTCCTCTGGCCATTGCTGAAAGTGTGTAGGTGACATTCAGAAGCCCCCAAGTTAGTACAAAACATCTTCCCACCCCTAATGTGTAGGAGTACAATTATTTTTGACACAAAAGTGTCCCTGGTCTCCACCCTCCAAACTCTTATCCAGTCTCAACATCTCAGAAGCCACACCCTTGGGTCAGCCCCATGATCTAGTGGTTAAGTTTGGCATGCTCCGCTTCAGCAGCCAGGGTTCACGGGTTCAGATCCTGGGTGTGGACCTACACCACTCATCAGCCATGTTGTGCTGGTGACCCACAAAGCAGAGGAAAGATTGGCACAAATGTTAGCTCAGAGCTAATTTTCCTCAAGCAAAAAAAAAAAAAGAGGAAGATTGGCATCAGATGTTAGCTCTGGGCGAATCTTCCTCAGCAAAGAAAAAAGCCACACGCCTCTGCTTTACCCCACTGTGGGCCACCCCTAGCCTTTGCCACATGCATATCAGATGCCAAGGGTTACACACTTTGACACATCATTTTTTTAAAGCCACTAACTCCTCCTATTCAAAACCTACTCTGGAACAAATACTCATGGCAAAGAAGCCTCAGCACCACACAGAGTTGCATCATTGGGATGCTTCAGACAGGTTCAGACATTTTGAATAAAAACATCATCGGTTCCTAAGCCAGAGTACTGAAAATACCTCTAACCCAGAGACCTGACGTTTGAAATTGAGTATTGTGCACCCCCCACCAAAAGTCACAGCCCCACAAAAGACAATAAGATAGACAAGAACCCAGAAGCTTCCCCACTGCTTACCTGCAGTGTGCTGAGAGAATAAAGGTGAGGCTCGGAAGCGCCTGAACCCACAGTGGAAGATTAGCTCCTCTTTGGCTTTCACAGGTTCAGTGTTGCCAGGGTGCCGGCTCACCACCATGTTCAGTACTGACATCTGGAGATGAAGTAAGAAACACAGAACTTCCTATCTAAAAGTAGAACAGCTAGACCTGAAAGAAGGCCAACAAAACTAACAGATTCAGATTCACTCCAAGAACTGACAATGCCAATTTACGGTGGAGTGCAGATGATGAGACACAGTCTTCTTTTTACCTCCACCAACAACTGGCATTCAAGCTGAACACAGGCTGGTTTTCAGAGCTTTCTTATACCTTCTATACTAGCTGACCTCCTCGTGTCTACATGCAAGAGCTCAACATCTGCCACAAAGTTAGTGCCGTCAAATCACTCACTCACCACACTTCAAAACTACACTCATGCAAACCCTTTCTTCCTCAATCCTTACACTGATTAAATGCCAGAGCTCTCACATACACCTCAATCTACATGACTGCTGGCCACCAAGAGAAAAGAGACCTATCTACACCTTGGCATAAACACTCTATTTTTAGGGCTGCCAATGCTTCATTAAAATATTTTTCTTTTTGCGTTTTTCTTGGTAAGCAAGATTAGCCCTGAGCTAACATCCATGCCAATCTTCCTCATTTTTTGTATGTTGGATGCCTCCACAGCATGGCTGATGAGTGGAGTAGGTCTGTGCCCAGGATCCGAACCCGCGAACCCGGGCCACCAAAGCAGAGCGTGCAGAACCTTAACCACTTGGCCACAGGGCTGGCCCCCGCTTGGTTAAAATCTGATCTGACAAACATACTTATCTCAGAGAAGTCTCAGAACCACACAGAGATTGCATCACTGAGATGCTTCAGACAGGTTCAGACATTTTTGGGTAAAACCATCATTGACTTCTCTGTCATCCTCTGATTCCTAATTCGAAAGGCAGATTTTTCATATACCAATGAGCAAAATATCAGTCAAAAATAAACTTTTAGACTGTCAGACAAAACTGTTTCGAAAATTTCATAACTCCCTATTTCCCACAAGACACTAACTGACCTTCTGTTCATGAGGTAGTAAAGAAAATGCAATCAAGGGTGCTCCTCGTTTGAAGTATTCAACCACTGAGACAGGTACTTCAGAGACATGAAGTGTGACATACCAGCCAACCTGCGAGAAGAAGGCAGAAAACAATCACACAGGTACCCTTAAGGTCTCAACAATGATGACACATTTCTCTAAATATGTTAAAAGTCTTACACTACCCCAAAGTCAACCCTCACCCTTCAAAATTGCCTTTCACAGATGCCTCAACTACCTAGATTAGACTTTTTCAGTTAACATCTCTGATACCTCTTTGTTCCCACTATCACTCTTGTCAATGACTCAGTAGCTCCTTTAATTCAGCTATGGGCAGCACAAAACTAAATAAGGTATTCACCTGAGAGAAGGAGTAAGGAGGGGGCACCTTGGCAAACAAAAGCAAATTATAGGGATAGACAACGGAAGGCAGATACCTCAGCTCCTTCAAGCTCTTTTTCCTCAATCTCTTTAAAGATTCGTCTCCTAGTGCTAGTAAAGTTCTGAAACTGAAAGATTCGAGCATAATCTTGAGGAAGGTTTTCCTTAGGATCCCATGGAGATGTCCGGAAGCTCTTGAGGCCTCTGTATTTCTGAAATCTAGAATATAGGAGATTTTAAAGAAAATAATAGTCAAATTTATATGGTGCTATTTACTCTTTCTTTCAAGTCACTTCTAATATGGCTAAGACTCTAGTTGAAAGAACTCTTAATACTCTCTCTCAAAATGACCTAATAGCCTAAGTCAAGACCATACTCCAAAACAGCTTCTAACAAATATTTCAGAACCAAACCTAAGCTTCTCACTGACAAAGGACAAAGTATTTACAGTGGCTCCCTGGTGCTGATCAGAGAGTGGCTCTTGACAAACAAGGTCCTTGATAAAAGCCTTACCTCTCTGATACCCAACAATAAACTCTGGCTTTAGTCACTCACCTCCAGCGCAGACATGATTACCTACATCTTCATGCTTTTATTCTTGCTGTTCTATCCAAACTCCGCAAAATCTCCAAACATTATATATTTCAATTGAGTATAAGTTCACATAGAAAGCATTTGCTAATTTAACCTTACTATTTCTCCTTCAATAAAATACTGTACTGTATTAATTAAAAAGTACTGTATTCATTAAAGTACTGTATTAGTCTGTATCACACAGTCTAAAACTTGATTATGTATTACTGTTTCCTGTATGTACATCTTACCTTTCCATACAGAATGTTAGCCTTTCAGGAGCAGGGACAATGTGTTTTTCTTCTTTTGCGTCACACTGACATAGTTCTGAGCCACGTAAGTTTTAAATAAAAATGTATTGATTGATTTTAGACTTGTTGACTAACCGAATTCTAGCAGCCACGTCACGGGGGGTATCTACTTCATCTGGAAACATCTCTTCCATTCTTTCTTGTTTATATTTCTCCAACATTTTTTCCTCAGCCTCTTCATCCACCTTCTCATCATACAGATCATCACGCACAGACTCTCCTATAGTCATAGTTTCATATTCCTCCTCTTCTTCCTTTTCACTACTCTCATCCTATAGAATAAAGGATTGCAGTTTTAGAAGAAACGCACACTTGTGTCTACCCTAAAGGCCATTAAGCTAAGAATAAAATAACTTTACCAGACACCTAGTCCAAACTATTATCAATTCTAAGGATGTCCACACCAGTCCAGTCTATAGTCCTCCGCTCTACCTATGAGCTATTGAAGAGTGCCCAATATCAATTCTAAGAGACTCAGTTATAAAATAAGTCTCATTGCCAGCAACTACAAAGTCACCCCTAAGAAACTGACCACACATCCCCCTCAAAGTCAGAATTTCATTTTGCCTTGCATTTAGGGCTGTACACAAAAGTGGCCTAAGGGCCCATCTCCTTACCTGAGATTCCTCTTCCATAAAATCCTCTTGTTCTATATCATCATATTCATCTCCTTCCCCACCACTTGCTCCATCTTCATCCAAAATCCACTCAGCTTGGTAACTGGATGTTCCTTTGGGAACCTTCTTTACCACCTTGGAACGTTCCTTCAAGAAGTCTATAAAACCCAAATGATTTAAGTAAATTATATACCTCCATTCCCCAATTACTCTATGTGTTCTCACCTAGGCAAGACACTAGAAATTGCTGCCAACACCAGAAACTCTGGTATACACTATGACTAGAACAGACCACTTTCAAATTTAATTCAGCTGTCTCAAAACTAGCACGATTTAAACAGCTAAATAAACCTTGCAATGAACCTGAAGATGTTTAATTGTTAATCAGAAAACAAGAACACAAGCAATTTGAGAAACAGAGTGAAGCTGTGTCCAATGTTTGCTTAGTGCAAACATACACCATTTAGGGGTAAGAGATCTCCAAATATATCTTCATCCTAGTCTTCCTTATAGGGTCCTGACTATGAGCAGCTAGACAAAATCTACAATTCCAAGCCAGATGAATTACAAACAAGTTGCTAATACCAACCATTTGCCTCACTCAGCTCCTCCTCAGTGGGCCAGGTTTGCTCCCCCTCCATTGGATCTGGGATAACCTCTGTTTGCAAAGATTCTTGTTTATCAGGGTCTGCCTTCATTAGTACCTTAACGTCTTCCTCCATATCAGCTACAGCATCCATAGCACAAATCTGAAAACCAAAAGCAAGTGATGGGCAGTCAAACATTAACCAAAAACCTACCAAATCTAACACAGTAACCAGAAAGACCCAGAAATAACATAGCCCTCAAGTAGAAGACGAATGAAATAGGGCCGGCCAGCCATGGTTAAGTTCGGCGAGCTCCACTTTGGCAGCCCGGGTTCAGTTCCCAGGCATGGACGTACACCACTCATCTGTCAGTGGCCATGCTATAGAGGCAGCGCACATGGCGGGGTAAAAAAAGGGCTGGCCTAGTGGCATAGCAGTTAAGTTCGCATGTCCCGCTTTGGCAGCCCAGGGTTTGCCAGACTGGATCCCGGATGCGGACCTACGCACCACTTGTCAAGCCATGCTGTGGCAGGCATTCTACATATAAAGTAGAGGAAGATGGGCACAGATGTTAGCTCAGGGCCAGTATTCCTTAGCAAAAAGAGGATTGGCAGCAGATGTTAGGTCAAGGTGAATCTTCATCAGCAAAAAGAAAAAAAACGATAAATGAAACAGAATGAAACAGAAAGCTGAACTTGCCAAAATTTTCCAAATAGTTCTATTTCCTAGCATTTGAAGTCTATATCTCTGCTTGGTTCTTGAGGCCTTTCATAATCTGGTCCCACTCCTACCAGTTTATTACGTATCTCACTCCTATCAAGCTGATTTCTTCAGAGCTCAAAGAAACCCTTTGATGCATCACTGTCTCTAAGTTCACACTGTCTCTATCTTCTATGATATTCTGTCATCACCAACTCACACGTCACATTCATCCTTCCCAATACCTGGCTCAAGTTTGATCTCTTCTGTGAAGCTTGCTAGTCTACTTTCTCAATTTCCACAGCAGGTCTGTACCTCAACTACACTCTTTCTTTCTTTCTTTCTTTCTTTTTGTGAGGAAGATTGTCCCTCAGCTAACATCTGTGCCAGTCTTCCTCTATTTTGTATGTGGGACGCCACCAAAGCATGGCCCAATGAGCAGTGTGTAAATCTGCGCTTGGGATCTGAACCCGCAAACCCCAGGCTGCCAAAGCGGAGCATGTGAACTTGACCACTACACCACTGGGCCAGCTCCAACACATTTTCTTATTCTTTATTCCAAGGGTGTTTGCCGTTTTTTTCAGATCTAATTAAGTTGTCTGAGGAAAGAGACTGCATCTTGTGTATCTTCTATAAACTCAGAGCCAATTGCTGTGCAAGGGACCTACAAAGTGCTGGATAAATATATGACAGGTCAACATATTTGTAGACTACTGCCTTATTTCAAATTAGCAGTCACCTCCAGGGACTACTAGTAGTCTAGTGTGCAGACTACCTTCTCCCGAAGTTAGTTCCCATCCTGTGCCAGCTTACACACTTATCTACAGTTCAGTCTTCAAGAACATCAATCTCACCTCCATCGCCATGCCTGGGTCCTTCCGGGATTTGATCACTCTGGGATGTAAAGGGAAAGGGTCCATAGGGGCATCTATCTGTTTCATCTGGAAATCACCATGTCCAATGATATGCAGCAAGCTATTTACATTCAGAGTCTGCCCACGAACATAGCCTGAGATTTTCAAGGTGCCCACCAAGTTATTCTCTTCGCCAGGCACAAAGTCTGCAGCATGAGCAAGCAGGTAGGCCCGCCGATCTCGAAAGGCAAGATGCCGTTGCTTTTGGTTAGCCAACTGCCTGAGCAGCATCCCTGCCTCCTGGTGAGTGTCTAACAAGAGGAATTTGTCATCAGGAAAGCGCTTCTCCACTACTTTACTTAACTTCTTTCTGGCATCTATTTGTTTCTTCGGTGGGAGGCCAGAAACCCCCTGGACAGCTAGTGCTGTAAGTAAAAGAGAAAGGACTTCTTGAATTGTTGCTTCATTATATGGAAATGCCCCCTGCAGTTCACAACCAAGCTAACAGTTCAGTTGTGAGCCCAGAGATCACTGGAAAAAACAAAACTCAGCTACCCTCAAGAAATTTCACAGTAAAACCAAACTTCATATTCTTTTTCCTGTGGGCAAAGGTCAGCCCAGAAATAAAAAAGCACCTCAATATCTAATTTGTAAATAACAGACCAAGTTGAGGCCTACATGTACAATCCACTACCAGCTGAATACAACCCACCAGTTGTATTCCTGCATCAAGTGTCAAACAGTGCCCCACAAACTATAGGTGCACAATAAATGCTAATTCACTTCCTTCCCTGGCCTCCAATACTCCCAACTCACTTACTATAGGTGGGAAGGCCCTGAGCAAAAAGGCAGGAAAGGCAGTAATCCCCGGTGCTGTCCCAGCCTTCTAGTGGATCAAGGAGGAAGAGGATGGTATCGGCTACTTTAGCCATGTCTAAGACAGTATGCAGATCCCCTGGAGAGAGAAGACAAAGTCAGTAGGAAGAGATGGTTGACACCAGCACATTATTCTCAAAAAATATTACTACTCAAAATGTAATGATAGAAAATATTGTGGTATACTCCAACCTGGCCTTGCAGATGTGAAAAACCACCGATGTTTCAAGCGGGGGCATAACAGCACAAAGCCATGGCTGCTTCCCCATTCATTCAGGTGTACTGTTCCAGTGTCCCTATCCTGAAGCAGCCGAAAGGCCTCTGTCAGGGAAATCCTGTTGTGCAGGGGCACCACCAGTACCTGATGAGGAGAGCCATCCTTGCTGCCCAGCTGTCTCTTCTCTGCCAGAACCTGGGGGTACGGATTAGAGAACATCTCAATGTTTCAGTACTTCGTCCTCAGTACTGCACTTCCAACGGTGCGGTTGCCCCTCGCAGCCAGCAACTCTCTTGTAAAAGGTGACGTTCATGTCACGGGGGTGGCAGGCGCTCGGACCAAAGCACTGAATGCCCTAGTCTGAGTCTAGACCTGCACGCCTGACGTGCGCTCTAGGATTAGTCTCCATTCCCGGCCCCTTCCCTGGCCCACATTTCCTAGTTCCTAGAACGGTTGTGAAGCCACACCATCCCCCAATCCCCGCTTCACTCACCGCCTCCTTCTTCTGCTTTCGGAGCTGGCTGGCGCGATGCCTCTGGTCTACTCTGCTGAGCTCTTTTTTCACTTTCTTGCTTAGGGTTTTCAGCGCTAGACGGCCTGAGGGCAGATCAGAGAGGGCTCTTGTGCTGGGCATCAGAGGAAGGTCAAGAAAGAGGACCCCAGTCCGCCCACCTTACAGAGAGCTTTAGCGCGGGGTGCAGGCCGGAGGTAGGAGCTCAGTCTGGGCATGAGGAAAAGCAGTTAATATCGACTCAACACCCCTCCTTCCTTCAACCCTCTCTTCTCACCCTTGCCATCCCGCTGCGCGGATCCCCGACCCCGATGCCGCCCGCCTTTATGAGGTTTATTCTGCTGCTTCAGCGGGCCGGAGCGGTGGGCCGCCATGCCGCCGTTCGCGTGTAGCGAGACAGCACTACTTCCGGGCCAGATCGAGCGCTTCCGGTCCCCCCATGGGGGCGGGCCCACCCTGGGGAGGGGCGGGGCTCCCGCGTCCTCTCGCGAGTGTCTTTAAAATCTACCTCTGAGGGCTCGTCGCCGCGACACCGTAAAACTGGGGTGTAAACTTTTCCCACGCGGCAGTGCGTGGTGGGGGGCTTCAAAAAGCCCAGTGTAGACTCGAGGTTCAGGTTCTCGCTCGCAGAGGGCTATTTTGCTCCCCTGCATTTTCACTTTCTGCCCTATCAAGTTGCATCACTTAGGAAGATGTAGAATGGAAGATTCTCCATTCGTGTGGAAGAGGGCTAAGCCCCTCCTCTCACCTAGATTTGTGCACGCAGGCCTCCGTTTGCAGCAGCAGGTGTTCTCTATCAGTTTGAGCACCCTTTTCTGTCCGTCAATGCCCCCGTGTGGCTGCCGAAGTCTACAAGGCGAATCGTGTGGAGAGCTCTCCTCTCCCCTTCCCGGGCTCCGTACGAGTTCCCGCTGGTCCCGTGCGCGCCCCAACGTCCCACAGAGCAATAGGGGCCAGACGGGACGAGGCGACCCCTAGAGGGGCAGGGAGGCTGGCCGCGACACTCGTGCCCTCAGGGCAGCAGAACCTCTTCCCACAAGCTTTGCAACTGAGGACGGCCGGCTGGCAGGGGACTTAGAGGGACGATGGAGTTGGGGCCTTTCTCAGCCCGGGGACTAACGCTGGCTTCCCCGTGGCCAGACTCGAGGTGCAGGGGGCCCCGGCCCTTCCCGTCGGGAAAGCGAGCGGGTGGAAATCAGGGGGCGCCTAGCTGGATTGAGGCCAGGTCCGGCGCCAGCGACTTTCTCCTCAGCCGTGGGGTGCGGGGCGCTCCCGGCCGCCCCGCCCGGCGCCCAGCGGTGCTACTGCTGGCGCTCACAATGCGAGTTCGCGCCCTCGGGGCGGGAGCAGGCGCGTTGCCATGACAGCAGCCCGCGTGGCGCGCGCCCCGGGGTCCCGACGACCCCCCGGGAGCGCGCTGCCTCCCCCTCACCCCGACCCCCCCTCCCCGTGACTGAGCGCACCCCCCCGCCCCCGGCAGTGGGAAGGGGCCGGGCCAGCTGCCTGACGTCTGTGCTGGGCTCGGAAAATGGCTGCGGAGCCGAGCACCGGGCAGTGGCGGCGGCGGCGGCGGGCGGGGAGCGCCGCGGGCGGGGGCTCCGCCTTGCGCGTGGGGCGCTGAGCCGAGAGGCGCGGAGGAGGCGAGGGCGCGCTGGGGGCTTGGGGCCGCTCGGCGCCGCCTCCCCGCCACCCGCCGCACCATGGGCAGCGCAGAGGACGCAGTCAAAGAGAAACTGCTCTGGAACGTGAAAAAGGAGGTAAAGTCAGGGCAAGGACCCCTAGGGGCTCGGGTCCTGGCCTGCGCGGCCCCGGGGGTGGGCAGAAAGCTCCGCGTCCACCCCGGGGCGCGGGCGGGGGCTCTCGTGGGCCCCGGGCGGGGTCCTGGACTGGCTGCGGCCCCCGCCCTCCCTCGGATCTAGGGGCAGCCAGCTCCCCTCGGTCCGGGGGGCTCGGCCCGCGCTCCAGGGATTGTGTGCTCCGCGATCCCGCAGCTCCCCGCCCTGCGACGGCAGCAGCGCTGGGAGACCGAGGTCGGGGGAGGGGTGGCGGCGATTTCTAGAGAACCGGGGCTGCCGGTACATTGTCGGCGCCGCCTGGGGAGGGGGCGGAGCCCTCGCTAGCCCCCTGCGGTGCTAAACGGGTGTTTTGGGGGCTTGGCTCTCAATTACCCTACACCCCGTCTCCGGTATCCCTCTGGGAACTGAGTCCCGGCTGCAGGAGGCTTCGCTGCACACCTCGCTGCTTCTCCCTCCACGCCCACTTCCCTACCCAGAGACCAGGGGTTTACTTGAGAACGGCTTTTAAGACTCAGATTTTTTCCCCCTTTTGAGGGAGGCCCCCTATGTAAGAAAAAGAAGAGTCCTTCTCTCTACTTATGTCCTTTACCTTGACCCTGCCCTAAAGCCCATTTCTATTTCATTGGAGGGGGTGCCCATATGAATGACTCACTCCCATATGAGAGCTGGAGAGCTCAAACCGGAAGAGTGAATTAGAATAGATTAGGCCTGTGGAGCCACGAACTGCTCCCGCCTACCTTTGTGGCTGTCATCTGCCAGATGTGTAAACTCCTTGAGGGCAGGAAACACATCTGTTTTGTCCAGTGCCTGGCACACAGTAGGCACTCAATGACTGGTAAATAAATCCGCTGATCTTGGAGACTGAAAGTCTTGTGGGAATGCATAAACTTTGGAATAGTCTGGACCTTGCTCTGTGTGACCTTGAATAAGTTACTTAACCTCTCTGAGTCTTGATTTCTTCATCTCTAAAATGGGAATAACGATATCTACCTAATATATAAAAGTTTACCGTGTGGATTCCTTTACCCCTTCCTAGAGCTTCAGGATTGGAGAAGACGCCAGGTTCTCATAAAATCCTAGAAGGCTCTAGATGGTTCTCCTGCATTAACTGTGACCTGGCTGCTGTGCCCTAACGTTTGTTCCCTTCCCTCTTGTTGGCAAAGAACTGGCTGAAGCCGTCACCTTTCCTGCTGTGTGAGAAGCTTCCTTGTGCCTTTGCCGTGAAGCAGCCAAAAAAGTTTTTTAGGCCAGGATTATGTTAAATCAGCATATAAACTCCAACCCTGGTCTCCCCAAGGAAAAGAGAAATCTCACATCTCAATGATTATCCGCAGGAAACAAGCAGTTCAGTGACAGAGACGTATATGAACAGTATAAATAAGAACAAAAAAGTAGCCATACCCAAACAGTGGACAGATGTGCTAGGCTTCTTGGTGTGATCCAGATTTGGGGTTGGTCAAGGATAATAGGAAAGATTTTTGAGAAGACAGTGATTCTTTTTTCACTACTTAGAAGGCTGTCTGTACTATGCTAAGGATGATTCCTAAACAAATATGAGAAGCGTCCAGAATATGCCCCAGCTGTGTATGCTACCTAACAAAGGTTGACCTGCTCTGAATTCTTTCTTCCCTTCCCCCTTCAGCACTTGATTTAGAGAGAAACATCCTTTCCTCTCCTACACGTAGTAACAGTGGGGATAATTGTAGGTAAGGCTGGCCTTTTATGAAGGACCTCTTGTATGAGTCTAGAGGCCTCGGTAGGTTCTAACGCCCAAATCTACCCCCCTAGCCTGCTTCAGATGCCTGCAGGTCTTTGAGCTGTGACTATGCTCTGTTTAATGCAAACACCGCTTGGGAAGTAATCTAGGAAGCTTTTAACAGTTTAGAGTGCAGGATTAATCTGATCCCCTTTTACCTAACCACTAACCGTGAGCACTTTCCGGCAGGCAGGAGCCTCCTGGTCCTTCCTTCCTCCTCCACAGACTTTAGAAACTTTTCCCTCCTCCAAACTACAGTCCTAGGTGAGGGCCTTGGGAGCAAGGGCAGCATCAGGACACTGCGTGCCTTGTCCAAAGAATGGCAAAGACGAGCTCTGCCCAGAGCTTACTTTATCTGTAAGATTTTACACTGGGATTGAGGTAATCCATCCCTCTAATCTCCAGTATTAGTATCTGTCTCTTGGCAGGTTCCCCCAGGACATCAAAAGTGCTTGTCTTAAGTGTTGGGAGCAACTAGAACCTCACACACTGCTGATGGGAGTGTAAATTGGTACAACCACTTTGGAGAGCAATTTGGCAAAACCTAGTAAAGTGGAATATATGCATCAGAAATTCCTTGTCTAGAAATAAAAATCCAAAGAAATGAGCACCTGTGTTCACCAAAAGACATATCCAGAATGTTCATAGCAGCACTATTCATAACAGCCTCAAATTGGAAACTACCAAATGGTAGTCAGTTGTGGTGTGTTCACATGTTGGAGAATGAACAATCCACAACTACAGACAACGTGAATAAGTCACACAATCACACCAGGGAGCAAGAGAAACCCAGTCACAAAACACTACACACTAACTGATTCCATCTATAAAAAGTACAAAAACCTGGCAAAACTACTCTATGATGTTAGCAGTCAGGATAATGAGTACCCTGGAGGGGAGTAGTGACTGGAAGGAAACAGGACATGGTGGGGGGTGCTTTCGGGTGCTGGTCACACCTCATGTTTCTTCAACTGGATGCTGGTTTCACAGTCATGTTCAGTTTGTGAAAATTCATCAAGCTGTATAATTATGATATACACCCTTTCTATATGTTTACTCTGTCAATAGAAAGTTTTGTTTTTACAAAGTGCTTTCTTAAAGAAAGATGTGACTCCTCACCTTACAAGGTTATTTGGAAGCTTTTATGTCCAGCTAGGAACCCAAAATATCAGTGTTCTACCTAGACGGAAAGACGGCTGGGCTTGCAAGCATGTGGAGAGTGTCCCTGAGGCCTGGATGGACCTACCCCCAACCCTGGAGAAGAGGGAGAAAAGAAGGGGCAGGTTGTTTATCTACAGCATGTATGGAGACAATTTGTCCTTAAAGAATAATGTGTCTGCCCAGAAGCCTTTCTTCAGTTAAGTGCAGAGGAGCAAACAGTACCCCATCCCTGTTCTCTACGGCAGGGCACTTCCTCCTGGGCTGGAACATCTGCATTGATTGTCTGGTGGTTTATGGCATCATTTTTTCCCTGGTTGCCTTTCCAAGATGCTTTGGAGCTGGCCGTGCTGAAGAAACCTTGCTCCCCTGACCCCATCCCTGTCATCTACTCTGCAAGTGTCTGAACCCAGATGAGGAGGGCAGAGCCGAGCTATTTACTTGCCTACAGGCCTTTGATCAGAAAAATAAGTAACAATGATGCCTGTTTGTCTGCAGGTGAAGCAAATCATGGAGGAGGCTGTCACCAGGAAGTTTGTGCATGAAGATAGCAGCCACATCATTGCTCTGTGTGGTGAGTGAGTGACTGGGCGATAGTGGGAGGTGGGTTTAGAATTGAGAATACTGTGCTGGGGCCAGAGAAAGATGAGTCCTCAGGTTTAGTAGTTCTCAAATCAAGTCAGGATCAACTCAGAAGCTTTCAAAATCTCCTTGGGCCGCATCCCACCTACTGAATCAGGATCTCTAGGGCCCAAGAATCTATCTATGTTTATTTCCCTCAGTCAGTAGTTGTCAAATTTTACCATGCATCAGAGTCATCGGAAGGGCTTGTTAGAACACTGATTCCTGGGTCCCAGCCCTGGAATTTCTGATTCTAGTAGGTCTGAGGCGGGCCTGAGAATTTGCATTTCTGACAAGTTCACAGATGGTGCTGATGCTGCTGGTCCAGGGACCACACTTTGAGAACAACTGCCCTAGGTAATTTGGATTTGGGTACCACTGCTCTGGTTTATCCTTGCTTTAACTTTAGGGAAGAGTTTGTGCTTTTTGGGTGCTTTCTGTGCCACAGCTACTTTCTAATTAATCCCACCTGTGTTGCTCCAACATCCCAACTCTGCAAGCACTTGATTGGATGCAAAATAGCATGAGTGTAGGATAGCAGGATAGCCAAAGCCTTCTCACCTTAGAAGGAGAAAGTCCATAATAAAGCATAGGTTCCTCTTCAACGAGAAGACTTTTGCTTTTGTAGGAACCAGCCTCTCTCTCCACACAATGGAGTTTTCTTGGATTTCCAAAATTTGACCTTCCTTTCAACTCCCTTTCTGAAGGGACAAGGAGCCATTTGCCATCTCCATGTTGTTTTCCTTGGCCTTTGAGATTGTGTTTGGGGTTCATGGAAGAGAGGTTGTGTATTTCTTTTTTTTTTTTAAGTCTTCTTTAATTTCTCTCAACAGTGTTTATAGCTTTTTCTTCTTCTTCTTCCTCTCCCCAAAGCCCCCCAGTACACAGTTGTATATTCTAGTTGTAGGTCCTTCTAGTTCTGCTGTATGAGCTGCTGCCTCGGCATGGCCTGATGAGTGGTGCTAGGTCTGTGCCCAGGATCTGAACCGGTGAAACCCCGGGCCGCCGAAGCACAGCACATGAATTTAGAGAGGTTGTGTATTTCCGAGAGGAAGGAATGAAAGGAGCAGATTAGGGAAGGGACACTTTTTGACAGTAGTGTGATGAAGCAGAAGGAGCTGCCCTTCCTGTCAGTCCAGCAACAAATACTGAGGGCCCACTAGGTGCCAGACACTGTTCTCCAGGTGGGGAAATGGCAGTGATAAAATGGACATTCTCTGCCCCAGGGGCTTACGTTCTGTGGGGAGACAGAGAGAAAACAAATACACACATAAATGTGTCCTCTAATAACAGGTTTGATAATAGTTATGAAGGAAAATAAAGCAGAGAGGTGAGGGAGGGCGATCGGGGAAAGGCCTGTGGGCAAAGCCTGAGTGATTTTCAAGTGACTCCTAGTGCTCTGCTTGCTTCTTAAGTTGGGTTGGACAAATTTCTTAACTTCTGTCACCCTCAGTTTGCTCCTCTAAAAACAGGCCAGTGATTCCCACATCAGGGAATTTTTGTGTGGATTGAGATGATGCATGTGAACATTGCAAGCATAGCATTGTAAGAGTTCGGAAAATGTCTGTCTTTCTGTCTCTTTTGGATGTTGAGGCTGAAGCTAGATTTGCAGGATTTGAGTTCCCACCATGTCCCTTTTGAGTTAGTTTCCCCGGTTCTTTGAGATGATGTAATGATTCCCAGGTTTACAAAGAGCAATCAGATCTCACCTTTTCTTGGGTAGAACCTATGCTAGGGTAAAAAGGCTGCTAGTCTTGCAATAAATGGCTTTGAAGAATATTAGAACTCTACTCCTTTCCACCTGTGCTGTGTTCCCCTGACGTCAGCCACTGTCTGGCCCTGTCACCAGGAGGGCTCTGCTGGTGGCCCGCTTATGCAGGACTTAGTGCTAGGCTTTGTCCAGAGCACACACAGCAAGCACAGAAAACAGAATAAAATTGTGCAAACAGCTTGTGCATGGGCACCACACGTGGGTGGCCATGGGGGAATGGGGGAAGAGAGGCAGAAAGAAAAGCTGTGGGCGTTGCACATTCAGGCCAATTAGGGTGAGAAGGAACTATCAGCTCTCCTCTGATCAGCCCAGGGGCCCCCGGGAACCAGTGGGGCTTTCGCTTTTGTCTCCTGCCTGGAAGCCCAGGGCCCTTTCCAGCGGGCAGGGATATCACCCTCAAAAGGAGTGAATCTTCTACTTTTAGCCAGTTTCGGTTGCAGAAATAGAACAAGGGTCTGTAAAATAGACCCAAGTCTCCAGGGTTCTAAAGTCAGCCCAGGAGCAAGAGGAGCTCTGTTCTGCTGGATCTCTGGACGTGCCTTAGGTCCACAAGGGCAAACTTCAATGCCCACAGGGTCAGAAGAGAAACATCCACACAGGAAGCTTGCAGAGTGTGAGACATCAGGCGGTGGTGGGGACCGGGGTGAACTGGCTGGCACTTGCCCTGTTTGAGGGAGGCAGCCCACCGCTCAGCTCCTGCAGGAATGCTGGCCCAGGCTTGCCATGGCCCTTGTTTTATTTTAAGAGAAGCCAGCAGTCTGGATTTTTATATGAAATTTCCCAGTTTTTAAATGCTGATAACTAATTCTTATTACAAAAAAATGTGTGGGCCAATCAAAAGGCGTCTGCAAGCCTCTGCCAGTTTGCTGTCTCTGCCATGGGCTCGATGCAGTCACTGAGGGGATCATCAGCAGGAGGGGCTGCCAACAGTATAAAGCTAAGTCAAGCCGGGGCATCTGAGACCCATGGAAAAGGAATCCTTACACTTTGTCAAAATTGGTGTTCAGTGGTGAAATAGATCCCACTTTGGGCTCAAAATAAGATTGGTTTAAAGCAGTGATTATCAAGCTTTTTTCCTGCCTGCCAGCCATTTCCCTGCATCACAAAGTGGAATCATAATTAGGGATTCCTGGGGGGAGGCAGAGGGAAAAATAGATATGTATTGCTGGAAAGCTACACCCCTCTGACTTTTTGGAGATTTTGATATGCCAGTCTCCTGCACCCCCTGGAAAAACGCATTTTTAGTCCAAAGTAAATCCAGCCTTATGCTGGGTCTTGCTGTTGTCCCAGCCATGTCCAGATTTCAGCTTTGTTCTGGGAGAAATGGGAGTGCAGAGAAGGTGCTGAGAGATCCGGAGCCTAGTGAAGGCTGTGGAGACTGGATTCACCATGGAGTGACCACATTCCCTAGAGCTTTGGGGAGTGCGGGCGCCCTGGGCTCCTCCGCTCTGCCCTGGCCCCTCTGTTCTTGGCCGAGGAGGGCTTAGGGGTGACTGAAGAGGGCAGGGCCTGGGCAAGATGTGCTTCTCTGAGCTTCCTTAGAGTACAGACATTTGGACTGGAAACAGCACCTTCCTGGAAAGCCTTAGAAATAGAGCTGGAGAATCCCTGGATCAAGACCTGGCGCTGGGCAAACCCAAGAAAGTTGCTCGAGACCCAGGTTCCCGTTACCCACAGGGAGCAGTGAAACTCCCAGGCCTGGGGAGAAATGTGCATTTCTTGTGTGTTTGCTGTGGTTGTTCCTAAACCTGTCTATCCAGAAGCCAGTCAGGGCCCTACAGGTGGAAACCTTGTGAGGAAGCTTTGTTGGCAACCCCGGCTGGCTGGGAGGGGTCTCTGTGCTGTTCTCTTACCACAGAGCCTGGCTGAGGTGCTACTCTGAGGCAGCCGCCTCTGAACCCTCAGGCCAGGACCAGTGTGACTGCCCCTCCCGCTGGCAGAAGGTGGGGCTTGGAGAATAGGCCCAAACCTACCACTGTGGGAGACGGTTCTTTGATATCTCCTCATTACCTTAAAAAGTTGGGTCAAGGGGCTGGCCCCATGGCCGAGTGGTTAAGTTCGTGCACTCCGCTGCAGGTGGCCCAGTGTTTCGTTGGTTCGAATCCTGGGCGCAGACATGGCACTGCTCATCAAGCCACACTGAGGCGGCATCCCACATGCCATAGCTAGAAGGACCCACAGTGAAGAATATACAACTATGTACTGGGGGGCTTTGGGGAGAAAAAGGAAAAAAATAAAAATTTTTTAAAAAAAAAAAAGTTGGGTCAAGTTTGCATTTTGCTCTATAATATGGTGTTTGAAACTTTTATTTTAATATGAAGACTTACTGCTGAATGAAATTAATGTTTCCTGTTTTCCCTGTGGTTCTTGAACCCCCAGGGGTAGGCTGATATCTCCTGCCATCCTTTTCCCTAGAGAGCAAGGCGCTTTAACTTTTGCTTGTGGGCACCTCAAGGTCAGGGTTAAGCAGCAAACTGTCCCAAGTTTTGCCTTTGAACTCTGCATTTGTGATAGTAATGTATGTGCTTTAGAGGGCACAGTGCTCTCTTCCCGTCAAGGAGTCTGAAGTAATTTAGGCATCAATCCATGAGAGCTGGAGAAGCCGCTGTTTCTCTGCCTCCACAGTATTTCTGTTTGCTGTATTCTGATTGGGTGCTGAGGTTGGATTTTAACCTTTGGTAGACAGAGTGGGTTTACAAGGTTCCTGGTCCACAGAGAGGTTCCTGGCCTGGCAGAGCAGGTTGTCAGACTCATAAATGTCTCCTCTCCCACTAGAGGCATTGGGGGCAGGGCCCAGGACAGACTGGGCCAGCCCTGCCCCTCAGTCACCAGGTTCCCTGCCCTCCTGTCCAGATGGTCAACTTGAGGGTTGCTTCAGGCTGAGGATGAGCTGTAATGGGAGATGGGGGTGGAGTCTGTGGATCTGGGAACAACATCAGGGCTTTATTAACCCGCTGTCTGTTGCTAAGCAGCTTTCATTAGCCAGGAAGGTCGCTGCAGTAAGCTCCTCTGGGGAATGGCAAGGAGATGCTAATGAGCTGGGAGAGAAGCAGGTGCTACGGAAGGATTGCATCCCACCTGGGATATTGCAGCCAGAGATATTTCAGCACATTTTGAGATTCAGACTCCAGGCAGTTTTTAGCCTATCTCTTTTCAGTGAAAGAGATTCCCTCTCTCTTCTT